TCTCTGGGGAATTTCGTTTTCAGCATTACCAGCAAGACGACACAATGAGCGCGCGTCACCACATCCCGCGGCGGCGCCCGCTCAAACCTTCTACGCGTATTTTGCCCGGAAGAGAAGGGAAGCAACGCTCAGTCACGCGCCCTACTCTCGTGGCAGCGAGAAGGGGAAGGTCGTACGCCTTGGATGGCCTCGGGCTTTACCTGGAACAATTATGCTGTAGTGACAGGGTGCACAAATGTCACTGAAATCATTGCAGTCTCCGTTTGCGAAAAGCGCGCGCTTTTCAGACGCAGCAAAGTAACATCATCATCATCATCAGCCTGACTACGTCCACTGCAGGACAAAGGCCTCTCCCATGTTCCGCCAGTTAACCCGGTCCTGTGCTTGCTGCTCCAATTTATACACGCAAACTTCTTAATCTCATCTGCCCACCTAACATTCTGTCACCCCCTAACCCGCTTCCTTTCTGGGAATCCAGTTAGTTACCCTCAATGACCAGCGGCTATCCTGTCTACGCGCTACATGCCCGGCCCATGTTCATTTCCTGTTCTTAATTCAACTATGATATCCTTAACCCCCGTTTGTTCCCTAATCCACTCTGCTCTCTTCTTGTCTCTTAAGGTTACAGCTACCATTTTTCTTTTCATTGCTCGCTGCGTCATCCTCAATTTAAGCTGAACCCTCTTTGTAAGTCTCCAGGTTTCTGCTCGGTAGCTAAGTACCGGCATGATACAGCTGTAGTTGAGGGATATTGGCAATCTACCTGTCATAATTTGAGAGTGCTTGCCGAATGTGCTCCACCCCATTCTTATTCTTCTAGTTACTTCAATCTCGTGGTTAGGCTCTGCGTTTATTACCTGCCCTAAGTAGACATAGTCTTTTACAGCTTCAAGCGCACTATTACCAATCTCGGAGCGCTGCTCCTTTCCGAGGTGGTTGTACATTATTTTCGTTTTCTGCAGATTAGTTTTAAGGCCCACCTTTCTGCTCTCCTTGTCTAACTCCGTTATCATGAGTTGCAATTCGTCCCCTGAGCAATGCAATGTCATCGGCGAAGCGCTGGTTACTAAGGTATTCTCATTAACTCTTATCCCTAACTGTTCCCATTCTAGGCTTCTGAAAACCTCCTGCAAGCACGCGGTAAATAGCATTGGGGAGATTGTGTCCCCCTGCCTTACACCCTTCTCGATTGGTATTCTGTTGCTTTCTTTATGAAGCTCTATGGTAGCAGTTGATTCCTTGTAGATGTCTTCCAGATTGTTTATATATACTTCATCAACGCCCTGAACCGCAGTGTCTGCATGACGGCTGATACTTCTACTGAATCAAACGCCTTCTCGTAATCTATGAAGGCTATGTATAGTGGTTGGTTATACTCGGTTCATTTCTCTATTACCTGATTGATAGTATGAATGTGGTCAATTGTTGAGCAGCCTGTTCGAAATCCTGCTTGTTCCTTTGGTTGATTGAATTCTAATGTTTCTTTACTCTGTTAGCAATTATCTTTTAAATGGCTTGTATACTACAAAGAGCAAGCTGATCGGCCTGTAATTCTTCAAGTCCGATGTCATCTCCTTTGTTATGTATTAAGATAATGTTAGCGTTCTTCCAAGACTGTGGTACCCTTCCCGTCAGGAGACACCTCGTAAACAGGGTGGCTAGTTTTTCTAACACAATCTGTCCTCCATCTTTCAGCAGATCTGATGTTACCTGATCCTCACCAGCAGCTTTGCCTTTTTGCATGCTCTCCAAAGCTTTTCTGACTTCTTCTATTATTACTGGTGGGGTGTCATCTGGGTTACTGCTAGCTCTTATAGTATTAAGGTCGTGGTTGTCTCGGCTACTGTACAGATCTCTGTAAAATTCCTCCGCTATTTTAACTATCCTATCCATAATGGTGGTAATTTTGCCTTCTTTGTCCCTTAGTGCATACATCCGACTTTTGCCTATCCCAAGTTTCCTCTTCACTGCTTTGCGCTTCCTCCGTTTTTCAGAGCGTGTTCAATTCTTTCCATGTTATATCTTCTTACATCGCATACTTTACATCTATTAATCAACTTCGAAAGCTCTGCCAGTTCTATTTTGTCTGTTGTACTTGACACTTTCACGATTTGACGCTTCTTAATTAGGTTCTTTGTTTCCTGGAAAGCTTGCCAGTGTCCTGTCTAACTACCCTGCCTCCAACTTCAACTGCACACTCCGTAATGATACTCGTCAGATTATCATTCATTGTATCTACGCTAAGGTTGGTTTCCTCACTAAGAGCCGAGTACCTGTTCTGCAGCGACACTCTGAATTCCTGTAATTTCCCTGTCAGTGCTAGCTCATTGATTGGCTTCTTGCGTATCAGTTTCTGTCGTTCCTTCTTCAAGTCTAGGCGAATTCGAGACCGTAACATTCTATGGTCGCTGCATCGTACCTTGCCAACCACTTCCGCATCCTGCACGATTCCTGGGTGTGCAGTCATTCTAAAGTCTATTTTGTTCTTATTTTCGCCACTAGGGCTCCTCCATGTCCACTTGCGGTTTTTTCGTTTTCGGTACAAGGTATTCAAAATCTGCAAATAATTGCGTTCTGCGAATTCTACTAGTAGCTCTCCTCTGATCTACACGGAGCACATCCTTCCCCCGTTCAAACAGCAAGCTACTTATTATTAGTACTTACCCCTGCTCACGGGGATCTCGGGGGAATTTCGTTTTCAGCATTACCAGCAAGACAGCGCAACGAGCGCGCGTCACCACATCCCGCTGCGGCGCCCGCTCAAACCTTCTACGCGTATTTTGCCCGGCATAGAGAAGGGGAGCAACGCTCAGTCACGCGCCCTACTCTCGTGGCGGCGAGAAGGGGAAGGTCGTACGCTTTGGATGGCCTCGGGCTTTACCTGGAACAATTATGCTGTAGTTACAGGTGCACAAATGTAACTGCAATCATTGCACTCTCCGTTTGCGAAAAGCGCGCGCTTTTCAGACGCAGCAAAGTAATATAGAAGACGCTTATTCGCGTGTATCCGTACTTGGAAGTACGTTTTTGTGCGTTATTAGAGCGTGAAGAACGGCATGCTTTGATCTGCTTTCCATTCTGCGCATGACCTTTCACTTTGTTCCTATCGCGTTCATTGCTTCGCGTTTCCGGCAAAGCTGCGACTTTTTTGTTTTGTTACGTTGTAGTGAACTTTTCTTTATTTTGTACTTAAAGCTGTTTTTCTTAAATACATGCTCATACAATAACTACTATGAAAAATGAAAATAAAACAATGCAAATCATCCCGAAAATTAATTTACAAAGGAGATAAAGCTAGGCTCTTCTTAAAGACAGGCTGCAACCATGCAAACTGTAAGCGCCAACTTTGCTAGAAGTGTGACTATGAGCACGCACTAAAATGTGACTCTAATATTTATAAATACTATTTGATAAAATTAGGAAACTATTGGGAGTGGCATTTGTCATGCCGTGTTCAAGAGTTCCAAAATAAGATTTTTTTAGTCAAAAATTGCTTTTGAATGTTTCAGCAAAGGTACAGCTATCAATTTAATAATATATAGAAAACTTTGGCTAGTTTTGAACTTTTTGCGTCAGGGAGGTGTGTTTTATTATGTTGTGGCTGTCTCACACCGGATTACATCGGCTGCGCTTCTTGATTTTGAACGCTCATACTGTTTGTGTGTGTGTGTGTGTGTGTGTGTGTGGTACGCGTGTGTTGGGTCAGTTTTAGAAATTGCTTCTTCTCATAGACTCACAGACTGTATAATCCGTGGCTTGAGTGTTCTCAGTTTCAGTGGCTCTTGCATGATTTGCAGTTGTCATGTATAATTACTTTTCTTTACTAAATTATGCAGAAAATATTCAGCTCAACCCTTGCGTCATCAATTAATCTGATGGATGGTCCTTCGGAGATGCTGAAGAGTTCTTGGTGGCCACGCTTTTTTGTTTGTCGTGCATCGTTTTGCAGCATTATGGTGTTCGTTTTTGAAGCACTGCGCTTCAAACTTGGGTACTGTTGATTTGATCAGATGTGTCTTATTGTGTTTTGTTTTTGGTGGCTTTTCACATGTTTGTTTATTCTTGTCTCATTTTTCTAAATGCTTGATAATCATCCAAAATGGGCAGCTTATTTTGAATAAATCGAAGAGTAAGAACTCAAGTGTTCCCTTGAATTTCTTCTGCTAGAGTTCTGTGGAAAAGATTACACAGTACCTCTGCAGTGCTTGTATGAGAATAGAGACTTCATTCATCTAACCAATACGTGAAACGATCAGCATACAATAAATAAACAGTGGAGCAAACACTGAAAAAATGTACTGATCCACGTCGCTGAAATTCTGTCCGGACAAAATAAGTACATCCTTAAAATACTCCAGAGGTACCACACAAAAGCTCCGGATAGCCGCAGTGAAAAACCCGCGAAAAATGCTCCGGAAGTTCAACGTAATCAGTCCCGCCAGCCGGAAGAAATTGTTAGTAAAATGTACTCCGACGGCGCCATGCGATTTCTCCAGTCAGCCGGAGTGAAATATCTTTTAAAAGTACTCCGGGTGCGCCACGCAATTCCTCCGACGACCCAGAGCAAAAGTTTTGCCCCGGATGTCCAGAGCGAAAATTGCTCCGAATAAGGGGGACGCTAGAGGACAAGCATTTTACTCCGACCTCGGAGTAATTTATTTACAGTATATGTACCTAACTTCGTTTTCATAAGTGTTCTTTTTTGTCAGAAAGCTGGCTTGGCTTTCCAGCATTGTGCTTGGCTGAAATACTGTTTTGCGAATATTTTTATCTTAACACGTTTGTGAATGCGGTCACTGGTGCAAAATATGATATGTGAAGAAAATTTCTGAAAAATGAAAAAGCGCAGTAGATAAATGCTGGTCAGGCAGAGGATTGCTAACTTAGCTGTTTTACAAGTTCCGAGCCTTCATCATCCGCTGAGATCCTGTATCGCGTGTATTCCTTTTTAAGCTTTCATACAATTCACTTCTCGGCTTTCCTTGGTTGGTCAAACGCAGGAAGACTTGAAGAACATCCAAAACGTGACACGGTCCTTGCCCAGGACCGACGTGGCGCGGCTAACGGAGCAGACCAGGGGGAACCTGACCTTGCTGGTGCGCAACCTGACTGGGGCCCTGCCTGTGCTGATGCGACGGATGGCCACGCAGGGAGCCGAGAGCACACGACCGTTGAGGGAATTTGTGACCGTGCTCTCGAACAATCTCAGGAATGCCTCGTTCGCTCTTTCTCCCAGCAGTAACTCGAGTGGAAACGCCACTAGCAGCACACTTTCTACGGCCAGTCACGACCTCCTACAGGCGTACGACGGCTTCCAGTTGGCCGTCAACAACGGAATGCTCGCCATGTCGGACTTGGTGCGCGGATCATTGAAGCTGGTCAACCCAGCAAACTGGCACGTCGGCCGCGTCGGGCTTGGCACCGTAGACGGACAAACGCCACAAGCTGGCATCAACAAGTTCATCGGGCACCTTTTCAGGAGGAGAGGCTAGGCGTGTATAGCGTAGTTTTGTGTCTGTGGACTTGTTTTTTGCGTGCCGTAGGCGCATACCATCAGTTGCCTGGTGGAAGCCAGCTGCAATATTGGGCATCATTAAGGTCATCTCGCTGACTTTGTGCACAGAAGCTGAGTTTGTGGTCGTGCATTTATTCAGTAGCCCTTTCATCAGGAAGATAGCCAAATCGGTATACAGGGAAACCTAAATTTGGAATGACGGAGGGACCCAAAGACTGCCGTTTGGAAGAACTTATCTTGGATGTGTGAAACTCTTGTGACGGGACATACGAGCTACCTTAAGAAACATTATGGAGGGAGATATACTACGTTCGTCGGTCTTATGTTCGTCAGTATAAAGAAGCGCACTTACTGTAGCTTCTACTGTTTTGCAAGTTGGGATTGTAATAAAAAATAAGTGTGGACCTTATATAAGGCTCCGAGGCAGATGAAAGAAGGGAAGACTTTCTAGCAAGTGTACGTAGGATTTCTGAATATTATTGACGTGAGTCGTTTCACGGTAGTTATGGGCTTCACATCTGACCCACATGGCCGTATTGTAGGGAAATTATATGTAAGAAGTGAAGTTGTTGTCGTACCATAATAGATGGTAATGTCAGCCAGGCTACATTTCTTCAGTCATATGCAATAACTTACCAACACTAGAACGTCACGTCTCGCGTTAGTGGAGCCTCCCTGAAACTAATTTCGGTGCCGAAGGGCCACAGAAGTCAACGCTTGTTTTTGTAACATCTAGCTCAGTCGCGTGCAATGCTTGATCATATATATATATATATATATATATATATATATATATATATATATATATATATATATATATATATATATATATATATATATATAAATATATATGTATATATATATAAATATATATATATATATATATATATATATATATATATATATATATATATACGTGTGTGTGTGTGTTTAAATAAACACTTAACCACACAAACTAGGCTCATATCTTTTGGCTTACCTTCACAGAAACTCAACTTATTTATCAGGTAAGTGACGTCTAGTTATATATACATTTTGTACACAGGAGGACTTTATTCTATCCACTGCAAGCCTGCTGCGGCGCACCTCTACATTTAGAAATCCACATGCACTCACAGAATTTGAGGGGGTACTGCAAGAGCAGAGGGACGGTGTTACTCTCCCCATAGTTCTTACTCTTCACAGTTAGCCGCAGAACGTACTATTTCGTTTAATGCAGAGTAAAAGAGACTGCGAACTCTCTGCTACTCAAGTGGAGTTTCCAATCCATGCAACTCTCGTGCCGATGAGGCGTGAATGGGATCTGACACTCCGGCCTTGCTGACGGAGTACAATCGAGTGCTATTACCACCGACACCGCAAAGCAATATAACAGCTCGTAACCATAAGCAACTGAGCGTAGAGGCCCCAGATATAATTTTAATGCGCCAAGTAATAGGATAACTTCCAGAGATAACAAAGGTATGCTTATGTGATCATGAACGTTTAGCTCCCGTAGCGCAAAGACCAACAACTTCGAAGCAAGGAACAGCAGCAAGATCTGAAGCGTCGCCAAAAGTTACTTTACGGCACCAACAAATTGTTACTGGAGTAAGGTAAAAGAGTCAGTACATACTGTAATGAAGTTGTTGAGCAAAAACACTTATTATCAGAGCGTCCCGTACAAGCTTCTTGCAAAGCAGAGTAGTTAGTCAAATGCGAAATGGTAGCTTCATCTCAGAGATTATACCACTTGGTTGGCAGAATTCATGATATTGGGCTTGCTGACATGCGGAGGCCTCCCTTTGACGCGCAAGGTTGCATTGCTCTGCCAGCCCTTTGCTGCTCAGCCCGCAGCAGCTTACGCGTCTCGCGATATCGTAAAACATCTCGTTTAGGAGACATTCTGGCATCCGTTTCGGCGCCGTTGTTGAGCAAAAAATTATCACCCTGTGCGTGACCAAAGTATCTAGAAATATGCAACTAAATTGAAATAAATCATGAATATTCGCAGATCCCACGTACAGAGAAAACCGATAGTATGCGAAGCACGAATAAGAAAGTTTGATATCTCACTTACTCTTGAGCACAAAGTTACTAGGCGGATGTTAATTGTGCCAACTTCGATGTCATAATTATCATGTTTGGACGTGTCATTTACCTTCGCCGTCTATTCACGCCACGTTGTATAAAATTTTGTACATGTGAAGCTTGCGAAACAGTCGCGCGTACGTTATGAGCGTACCACGTAGTCGTGTTTTACACGACAGGCATATTATGATTACCATGTTTGAACGTGTCACTTACCTTCGTCGTTCATTCACGTCACGCAATGCCAATTTTGTTATATATGGAGCTAGCAAAACGACCGTGAGCATGCTATGAGCGTAGCATGCTTTACATGACACGCATATCATTAATATCATGCTTGGACGTGTAATTTATTTAGTCGTCTAGCCACGCCACGTGATTCCAAACTTTGTATATGTATAACTAGCGAACCAACCGTGAGTGCGCTATGAGGGTAGCATAAAGTAATGTTTTACATGGCACGCACATCGTGATTATCATGTTTAGAAGTGTCATTTACCTTCGTCGTCTAGTCACGCGTCAAGTCATACCAAATTTGGTATTTGTAGAGCTAGCGAAACAGCCGCTAGCTCGTTATGAGCATAGCATGTAGTCATGTTTTACATGACACGCATGCCATGATTATTATGCTTGGACGAGTCACTTACCTTCGTCGTTCATTCATGTCACGTAATACTAAATTTGGTAAATGTGAGCCTAGCGAAACGGCCACGAGCGTATCATGGGCGTGGTAGGTGGTCATGTTCTTATATGACACGCATGTCAAGGTTATCCTGTTTGCTCCAGTCATATACCTTTGTCATCCATTTAAGTCCCATAAAACCAAATATTGCATATGTGAAGCTAGTGAAACGACCGTGAGCACACCATCATCGAGCATGACGTGTAGTCAGGACTTACATGACGTGCATGTCACGTTTTTCACCTCAGGGTCTGTCGCTTATGTTTGCCATGCAGTCATGTCACACGATACTAGTTTTGCAATAGGTCATGTGAATAAAACCACCGCAAGAGCAGCAAGACTGTGAAATGTAAGTCATAACAATTATCACATACACGTAATGACTTTCATGTTATGACTAGTCACTTATGCTCGTGATAAAGTCATCTACGCTGTACCAATTTTGGTATCGATACCATTATTGAAAAGACCAGGAGAGCTAAATGTCATTGATAGATAGATAGATAGATAGATAGATAGATAGATAGATACGCTAAAAGTCACCGAGGTTCGCTAAGAAATGCTTCTTCACATTTAAAAGTACTGGGTCTGAGGGTCGTTGATGTTCTACTACACAGCCATGTGTCTGCATGTGAATACAGTGGAAATAAGTTGCTATGCTTGAAAATGAAGTAACAGTGACGTTACTGCTTTACCAAACATACGCGTTTGTTCTACATGCTTCACAATAAAATACAAAATATTGGAGTAATAATGCCATGACACCACGGTTAATTGCCCTCGGGCGTCAGAACATGTGATTGTCGTAATGAATTCCTGTTTTCAGTACGGTCATTCCCTATAAAACGAACGCACACACATTACTGCGCCTATTCCCTTAAAGACCACGTAGTGGGTGCATAGCAAGTTGAAAGAAAAAGATTTCATGCACTAAGTGCTTGAAGTACGAGACATGATATCGCTTTGGCGTTAAACTTTTAATGGCGAAGGTTAAAACCACTGGCACGCGTATGCACGCGCCTACGCGACAAGAACGACTGGTCGCGCCTGTGGAGGAAAACAACGCGCAGCCAGTGGCATGCCTCGAACGCGTCGACGCTCAAGCGTCCACGGCTGATATCCAGTGTTACTTGATCTTTTGGCTTAAAACTGTCCAAGTTCAGTACAGAACGGCACGTGCTTAACTGGAGCGGTTTCGTGCGTTTTAAAAGATGTGAGACCGCGTTAAATGAATTGGCCCCGTATCTCCAATTCATTCTGCAAATGTCGTCGAAAGACGGCGGTCTTGCGTGTGGAGAGAATTAAAATGACATTTACTCGATGTTCTACGCAAGAAAACTTGGGAATCGTATTCTGGAGGCGCTGCGTTATAGGGCCTCGAGCGTACAGTGGAAGCGAACGAGCGCATTAGGTCAGGTCAATGAATGAATGAATTGGAAGAATTGATATGGCTATACCCTTCACATAGGACGGTGGCTAACGCCATCAAGCCATAGTACTTATTGAACCAAAAAGTAGATTTTGTTTCCTTAAAAAGTGAGGTTGAGGACTCGTACTTTGCAGTGAAGGGTTTAATTTTCACTCGTGCCTTGACTCCAGCCACCAATCAAATAACCTCCTTTCAGTTAAATATACCCGGTTCTATCATTCCCTCTTTGTCCCTAAGCCCCAGTGCTGTGAAAAACTCTGCGCTATCATCCAGAACTATAGAGTGAAGCCCTTTACAGAACATTATTAAGTGTTCAGCAGTTTCCTCTTCCTCTCCACACGCACTGCATACCGTGCCTACCCCTGCGTATTGGGCCCGATATGTCTTGGTTCGCAATACTACCGTCCTGGCCACAAACAGTACAGAACTACCCCGAGTATTATCATAGGTTCTTTCCTTGGCGAATTTCTGCTTAAAGGCTCGAGTGATCTCTAGTGCGGACGTGCCAATCATGCTGATTCTCGACATATTGAACTCAGCTTCCTTCACTTTCTCCTTAACCGATAATTCTTTTTGGTTTGGCCCTATGCTGTTTTCTAAGTATTTACCAGTCAATTTTCTGGTTCGCTTCCGTCATTTTGTATCAACATTCTTCTTGTACAAATAGTTGAATATCTTCCTAGCCCAACGCTCTTCCCCCATTTCTCTAAACGGCTTCTCAAATTTTATCTTGCTGCTAGCTTTCCTGCCCTCAAATGATGTGCATCCCATATTACCTTGTACTCCTTGATTTGGTGTATTCCCGTGAGCTCCCAAGGCAAGACTACCTATTCCACGAAGCTTAATTTCTAATCTTGCTTGAGCTTCTTATCTCATGCACAAGACCGCATTGCCGAACATTCGACCAGGAACCATGACCCCTTTTCATATCCTCTCGCAACATCATTCCTATTGTAATTCTAAAGCGCCCAGTTTTTAATCACCACTGAATTCCTGTTACCTTTAGTCGTCCCGCATATTTCGTGTTCCCTTTGGTACTCGGTCCCATTGCTTATCCATACGCCCCTACATTTGTATTTATCTGTTATTTCAAGCGTGACCTCCAGTACTCTGAGCTCACTAGCTTCATTATCATTAAAAATCATCACTGCTAATCTTTTCTTTACTGAATCAGAAATCTAACCTATCTCCCTCATTAAAGCAGATGTCCATCAATCTCTGCAAATCTTCCTTGTTGTCAGCCATTAGCACTATATCATTTGCGTACATCAATGCTGGTAGTACCTGTTCAATAAGCTTTCCTTGTTTGACGAAAGAGAGGTTTAAGCCCAGTCCCTTCCATCTAATTTGGCCTCTAGTCCTTGTCAGGGGTGTCCCCTGTCACCCTTATTATCATGAATAATAAGGGTGACAGGGGAAGCCCCCGTTTTACCTCTGCAGGCTTGGATACCTGTTCTTTCCACTTTATAACTACCTTGTTACCTTTATAGATACCCTTTAAAACATTAGTGACTACATGTTCCACGCCCAGTGTGTCCAGTATTCCCCACAAGTCCTCTTGAACCACGCTA